GCTCTAAGCTTTTCTAGTCTCATCTCTGCAGGCCACTCTGCCTTAGGCAACCAGTGTAGATTAAAAGTTCTAAAACATAATGGAAAGGGTGAAGTCGCAATAGAGAGAATTAATGACTACAGCCACTGCTGTCAATCCTTATGGTTCATTAACAACCAAGATTCATTAACTGTTGTTGATTTTATGTCTGGTGTCATGTTAGATTGGGATACCGGAACACTGCTTCTAACTGAAAGAGCTGTCAATCAAACCAGGCCTGGGAGGTCCAGTAAAATGATAGTAGAAGAAGTTTCTGTCTCACAGTTGCAAGTGGAGTATCAATCATCAGACCTTACAGGGCTTGAGAAGCACAATGGTGGTGTTTGGTGCCAAAGTGCAGCGTGTTTTCAGAGCATGCTTTGGGGCATTTTGTACTAGGTATTCAGAGGAAAAAAACAGCTCTCTTCTGTCTGTCTGCCACACATTACTAAATCTTTCTATAAAAGTAATATTTTTTTTCAGAACTTTAGAGACCCTAAAGCTATTTGCTATAGTCTACATTCACGGTCCTCTACTTTTCATTCAACATTCTTAAATTCGTATTTTAGTCTCTTCTCTGCATCTGTCTGGCTACAGAGGAAGGAAGAATGATCTTGAACTTATTTAATGCCTTTCATCCACATGGATCACAAGCTGTTTTGCTAACACCAACAGTTAACTGCAGCCACAACAAAAAAGAAATGTGGCAACTGTCCAGCATTGTAAAGCAGTGCCATAAGAGAAACACTGAGAGGAAAAATATTGCACTTCAATAGAAATTCCAGGGGGGCTAAAATAGACAGAATGGGCCAATGGCATTACTATAGGGACATATTTGACCTAACAATTATCCAAACTGGAATATGGACAGGACAGTGGGGCCAACATCCCAATATTTGCAATATATGTCATGGGATCTTTAATGATCACATACATTTTCAGGCCTTATCCAAACAATGTATTTTACAACACTGCAGTCCCCCTTACTACCACACTGAGGCTTGGTTAAGAATGCCTTTTCTAGTATTTCTGAACTGACAGAGGCAACTGAGCAGCAATAAAACCTAAGAAGAGAAAGATCTTTTCTACAGGACATTCCACAGTATTCATTGTCACACATTTCAGGATACTAGAAATTGTATCAGTGGTGCAAAGATCTGTAAGTGGTCATCTTTTACCAGACCACCTCCCCTTTTGGGAATGAGTTGGAGCCAACTGTATATATGTGGCAGAAATGGAAGGTTTTTCTTTGTTTGGAATACAAAAGCATGCTAAAAAGCCACGCTGGTGCTCTGGAACCAAGATACGCCAACTTGGCTTATAGCTGCCCCATGGATGTCATGAGAGAATATAGTTTAAAAACCAGAGGCACCCTACACCATTTCAACCAGCAAGGCAAAAGTCATTTTGACCGTAATATTCGGCTGCCTCTGCCTTTGTTGTTTAAAGATATGCATTTTTTTTAATTAAAGTGAATTCTTTGAAAGATATTTCAGTCCTTTGATGAGACTTACTAGAAGTCAGTGGGGAGGTTTTGGATAAAAATGCATAGAAGTTGTTTGTTCATGTTAATAATAGAACATCCCTATTCGGAAGGAATTTTTGCTCCTACTGGCCCTTCGATAATTGCATTTAAAGGTTTGGATTTCCTTGGTATGCCTCTATATATTTACCTACACAAACAATTAGGACTGATGGGAGCCAGCAGTAGGTGCCCAGTGAGGAGCATGCAGTGACTGTTAATGAAATCAGTCCCAGAGCAGGCTGTGGATCAGGATCAACAGCAAATTCTTGGTGCCTACATGCTAGGGTTACCATATTTCCACAAGCAAAACAAAGGACACGGGGGTGGGGGGGAGCCCCGCCCTAGCCCCGCCCCTGCCCTGCCCCGCCCCCATCCACTCCCTCCCACTTCCCACCCCCTGACTGCCCCCATCAGAAGCCCCAACCCTCCCCCCCCCCGCTCCTTGTCCCCTGACTGCCCCCTCCTGGGACCCCTGCCACTAACTGCCCCCTAGGAC